GGAGTTAGAGATAGCAGTGAGCTGCCATATGGGTGCTGGGAATTGAACCCAGATCTTCTAGAAGAATAGTGTTCTTAACCAGTGAGCCATCTTTCTAGCCCTGTTTTCTTTTGTGGTTGTTGTTTTTGTTTTGTTTTTAAAGACTGCTAAACCTGTGAGCTACACCTACAGGAATTAGTTGGGAAGTGGTACCCTTAAAGGGTCCTGCTCTGTGCAGGACCTCATACCTCAGAATACAGCGCTTTTCCAGTTTAATTTAGGAACTAGCTTAATTTACATTGGACCTGCTGCTGCTGCTTAAGACCCTTACACAAACTTCCCATGGACGCAACTTGCTATCTTTCAACTGCCCTACATACAAAGGTTATAGAGAAGGCCAAAAGTTGAAAATCCACAGAGAATGCTCAAAAACACTGCAATTTGTCAAATCAAGTATAGATAAAATCAATTATGTGACAGTTGTCCAGGCTGGGGGTGAGGGCGCAGCTGATCAGTGTCTACAGATTGGAGCTCAGGATGAGGAAAGAGAATGAGTCTGTTGCCTTTTACCACTACCCCATTTCTCCAGCCCTTGCGAAGAGTGAGCGCCCTGCCATACTTTCAAACATACTGCTTAATGTGAGTTTGACAGAAGACACAAAAGACAAGGAAACTGAAAACAAATTTCCATCTGTGTCTGGGTTTTGTGAAAAGCTCCAGCTCTCTCTTCAGGAACCTGGACCCCTCAATGCTGCTCAGTGCTCCTGATCAAAACTTAAATCCATCTATCTATTTCTCTCTTCTCCTTCCCTCCCCCTTGCTCCCCTCTCCCTCTCCTCCCACCTCTGTCCTCTCTCCTCTTTCTCCTAACCTAAATATTTCTTAATTGAACAGTTTGTGGCAGAGCTTCCTTATAGCAGTTTAATAGATTAACTCATCTGAGCCAGCCTCAAATTTCAGATTAAAATTCCTTCATCCCGAAGGCAGCATTATCAGGTTGTTGGAGGCTGTTTTCAAACCTTGGTTTTGAATAGCAGCGGCTCTGCATTAATTTAACCACTAAGCTAATAAGTAGGTTTCGTTTTGTTATGCTAAGCTTTATTGCTTTTCTTTTGATCAGAATGGTGTTGTTGAGCAAAGCAGCAGACAAGGCATTCTTTGATGAGGGAATTAGCGCTCCATTCTTCCTCTATTATTCATAGCGCAGTGGAATATGTAAGTACCTGAGGGTGTCAAAGGAGCGCAGGTTCTATTGCAAAGTGCTCGCCTTGTTTCTCTCAATAGCTGACTATGAGATGATAAACCGCTTAATACACTGTGCTAATTGGATGAGAGCAAAAAGAGATGGGAATTAAGGCGAGGCAAAAGGAGAAAGTGCAACCAGCCTTCAATTCACTCTTTCACCACTTTAACAGCACCAAAGGAGGCACAAGCTTTCTATAAGCAGACTAGAGGTTTTGTGCAGAGATAAAATGAACGTGTTAGTGGATTCAAGTAATACACTAATTATTGCACAGTATAAATACCACTACTGGTTTTATAACAGGGAGGTAAACTTCTTTTGAGAGGGTTATAGGATTGCTTGGCAGTGGTGTAGAACCTAATAAGGGCCCAGAGTAATAACCCCCTGGATTAACAAAATTGCTGCTTGTACAAGTATGATTCAGGCTTTTACGAAGATTTCCGGAGAATGAATAAAAATGACTGAATGACATTTCTTAATGTATAACTGGTAATCGCCCCCTTTTCTTTAAAGGAAAAATGTATACTTCAAACTGGACCGTTAATAACGTCCAGGGACAACATGACTTTTTCTTTTGAAAAATGCTTTTCCCTCTTCAGGTAGTGGGGTTTTCTTCTCCCCCAACCCCACCCCCAGGCAGGCTACCACTTGTCATTTAAATATGCAGTTGCTCTGGGGAACTCTGTTCCAAAATACCATTTTAGGCTCCATTTAAGACCCCCTTCATTGAGACACACTCACTTTTGTATATACACATACACATGCTCACATACACATTTTTTTTCTTCTAAAAGCAAGTTGGGCTAGCCCGTGTATAATTTCCTCTCTAACATCAGTCCCTTTACCATTCTAGAAGTATCTGCGCTCCAAATCATGCTAAACAGACCTTCTGGTGCTTTTAGTATTGATACTTTAAGTTAAAAACTAACACTAACAAATGATTGTCTCCAATGGGTGGGGAAAGCATGGGAAAACCATGGGGGCCCATACTAGTAATTTGATCCTAAGTTTCAGATTCCCACATTCTCCCAAACTGACCCCTTCGCCACCCTCGTCAGCACATAGTTAACAAGTCTGCCCTCACTACTGCCTAGAGTTCAGACCATGGGTGTGACAGAACATTCTAATAGTGTGTGCGCCAGCCAGGTGCTCCCTTCTTTTGGGTCTCCTCCTGATCTGGCTAAAGTGTCTGAAAATGTAACAAATTAACTTCCCCTTCCCCTCCAGCTTCCCTCCAGGGACTCAGACAGGGCTCTTGATCACCCCTCACCCCCACAAAGACCTTGGGAAAACAGGTGTTGGGCTGTTAGGTTCTCAATGTGATAGGAGACAGTCCTGCCATGAATTTGACTCTCCTGGACTCCCTGGGCCCCCATATGTCCTCCTCAGTGGTGGAAGAGGTTTGCTTAAGATTGAGGAGGGGGGCATTGTCAGCCGGTCCCACTGTTGTGACCGAGTTCCCAGATATTGGGGCCAAATTGGGTTGCCATTCATTAATAATGCTGACAATAAGATTAAATCATTCTGGAAAATCTCATAAAATCCCCCTAAGTACGCTCCAGTGGCTCTTTCCAATCCCATCATTCAGCACTTGGGGAGGTTTGGAAAGAGAAGAAAATTGGTTTCTTTGCTTTTAATGCTGCTTTGAAAAGATACTCAGAGTTTGTCATGCGTGACATGTCACATGTTTAATGTGGACTTGCTGGAAGTCAGGGGGTCTTTAGCGTGTGATATTTATGGGGAATATTAAGTGCAGAATGAGGTCCCTCCAGCTGGGGAAAGTTGAAAGAATAGGAGGCCCAGGCCCGGGCTTGTTTGCGGCATCAGAGTGACATAGGATTAAGAGTTTGTAAAACAAGGCGAGGGGTTCTCATTGGCCAGTAATAAATGTAATCCTTGGAGGTAATTTCACGCAATTTGCTTCTGCTCCATGGAAGGGTCAAATGAGAAAAAATGACTTAAAAAAGAGTTCATTAACAGGAAGAATGGTACTGTTTCTCGTATACCATCCAACTGGCAGCCTGGTTGGGGGGAGGCAGGGGATTGAAGCCTTCTTACTGAACAAAAAGCCAGTATCCACAGAAAAGTGATATTGACCATAAATATATATATAAATAAATCCTCCACTAGTGCTTTTCTTTTGTGCTCTGCTACCTACAACAGCCCTGTCCACTCCAGAAAGGTGGCTTTCTCTGGGAAAGCCTATGCAAGTCTGAGGGGTTGACTCTAAATCTGGAAAAATGCCCCAGAAAGTTCCATCCCCAGCCTTAGTAAATCCAGGAAAGGAGTGTGTAGTGGGAATGGGAGTTAGTGGTCACTTCTCATGCCCTAGACCGGGCCTCTGCCTGGGACAGCCACCCTGGAAATTCCAGACCTAACTAAGGTGGTAGTGATCCACAGGGCAGACAAAATCCAATAAACAGCTAGGGCTGGAGACCCTCGTGGGCGCGCTCTCGGAGACTTTGGACAGGCGGGAACTTGGGACCACAGGACCGCGTGGGCTTGCCGAGGTCGCAGCAAGCACCCGGAGCACTGCCCGCCTCCCCAGACAGGAACTCTGCCCCAGGACTGTTGACCTCTAAGGGAGTCTGCACCTTCGCTGAGGCTGCGAAGGGTTCCGGCTCCCCACCTCCTGCTAACAGGATGCGCGCGACCGGCTTGGCCTCAGAGACGTGCCCGCGCCCCCCGCGGTCGCCGGCGTCTTGGCGGGGCTGAGGTTCTATGCTCCGTGAGCCGCCTTAGTCACGCCGCGCAGCCCCCCCCCCTTCCCGCCTGCCCCTCTCCCCAAAGGTCCGGCGCGCTAATTGCTGCAAATTGAAACTAATTAAGCTTCTCTTCCCTTTCCCATCACCCTGGGAGCATTGGCGAGACCCAGCCCCCTCGGGCCAGCTTCCACCAAGAGGTCACCCGAAGAGGTGCGGGCAGGGTCCTGAAGAGGGGGGAGCTACGGTTCCTGCCGTGAGGAGGGGTGAGCCCAGGGGGTGAAAGATGCCAAATCTGTTTGGGTCTCCTGGCGAAACCTGAACTGTTTGGATTTTTTTTTAATGTATACATTTCCAAATGTCTACATAAGTGAAGTAATGACGCTTGTCGAGTTAAGATCTGCCACTCGGATACCGGTAGCTGCCTTTCCATCACTCTTCCCGCGGGTTTCTCCTCTCTCTCTCTCTCTCTCTCTCTCTCTCTCTCTCTCTCTCTCTCTCTCTCTCTCTCGTCTCTCTCTCTCTCTGTCTGTCTGTCTCTGTCTGTCTGTCTCTCTGTCTGTCTCTGTCTTTGTCTCTGTCTCTCTCTCTCTCTCTCACATCGCTTCATCGCTCCTCCCCCCTCCCTACTAGTGTTCCACCGAGCCCGCCCCCTCGGAAGCCAGCGCCTCAGCTTTCTTGCTCTAGCCACTACCTGTCATCTCGGACTGCCGACTGCGCGCTTCCTTGCTACGTGGCACTTTCCACGAACAGCTTGCTTTTGCCTTCCAACCAAGACTCTCCGCTTGCTTCAAATTTCTCTTTTCACGGTTGTCAGCAACACCTACTATACACCCACCTACCGAGGAACCCACCCTCCAATCTCCCTGGCCCAGGATCCTCAGCACCAACTGCAACAGAACTCTGATGCTCTTGGAAAGCGCCACTGTGGTCTCCTTTTGAGTTTCACTTTCTCCTGGAAGATGCACATGCATATAAACTCAAGAGATGCTATGGCATCCCCCTTGGTTTCGGTGCGGGGGGGGGGTATGGGCTTGTACTGTCCCTCAGGGTCTCCATAGAGCATTCACACTTCCTTTTGTTAAACATATATTTTTTTATTTTGAGCGTGACACTTCTCCACTAGATAGCAAGGAAAAGTGATAACAATTACACATTACACAAAAGTACTGTACCATTGCCTTTATCTTGAAGGTTTCCAAAGCCTCTACAGTTAATAAGTTAAATAAAGGGCTTGAGTACATAAATATTTGTCTAGGTACCCTACCGTATCTACAACACAGTAAGAATCTACAGGAGGACAAACTTTTACCATACCACGCTGAGTGCAATTGCGTTATAACATTTCAAATATACAAAGCTCTGTTCTTTTTTTAATAACAATGGTATGTACAGAATCAATAATCACAGTTTGGTGACTTCAACAGTCCATATTCTAGCAGAGTATTTCCCTTTGGTTTGATATAAAAACCTTGGTTGGTGTATGATAAAGAAGAGAACAAGAACGAGACGCCCCTTTCCTTTAAGTGCACTGTTAACTATCTTACAGATTCGCATTTGCTTCTCTTGCCCTGGTGTCTAGCCGGGCCTGCGCTGTAATTAACTTAGAGCGCCAAAATACTATTCAAAAGAAAAGCTAAGTGGGGTATCCGGAGGAAGAGAAGGTTGGGCTTTTAATTTTTAAAACTTCAATACTAGGCATCTTGGGGAGAAACCCTCTCCGTTAATTTCAGTAAGGTAAGAATGGGAGAGTGGACTTTCGAGTTGGAGCAACGTTGGCAGTGACAGGGGTAGGGACACGGGCAGGGGCATGTGGACAGCCAGCTGAAGAGGTGCCACGTCCTTTAGCGCTAAGAGCTGCCTTGTCCGCTTTCAGGCTGCTGCGAAGGCGGCTGCGCTCTTTCTGTGCCGTCTTGGGAGTGTGCTGGTCCTCTGTTTCCATTTGGTCTTGAGTGATGCTGAGTGAGGTGACCTTTCGGGACGCGCCCAAGGGGCGCGAGAGTGGAGGGCAGCCTTTAGCACACCTCCTTGCCCGTGCTAGTGCCCGGCAGGATGTTGAGCTGCGTGAGCTGTGCGGCGTGCTCCTTGGCCTTGAGCCTCAGAGCCGCTATGCTGGATGCGCGTCTGTCTGCGGCGGCGGTGGCCGGGTCAGCCAGCGCGCCCGAGGCCACTGCGCCCTCCACCGCGGGTGTGGGCTGTCTCAGGAGCGCAGCCGCGGTCGACGCGCTGGTCAGGGGGGCCATGGTGGAAAAGAGCCTGTGGGGAGAGCAAACAGCACGGTCACGGCCTCGTGAGCTGAGTGCAGCTCCTGAGGTAGCGAGTCCCATCACCTCTCACTGGGCGTCGAGGGTTAGAGGGGCGCCTAGCAGCTGGGGGAGTCCGGCCCCTAGTGGAGCTCGACCTGGGACTAAGCAGAGCTTAAATTGCGGCAGGCTGGTGGTTTTGCCCGAGCCAAGAACCCTCCCAGGAAAAGAAAGTTCAAGGGATCCCACACGTCCGGGGAGGATGAATTCAGAGGGAGGTCCTGCAGCCCAAATTACGAGGTCCCAGTGCGTGGATTCCAGGCTTTCAGTTAAGAAAGCGTGTGTTCCAAGATCAGTTCCTGGAGTGATGCTCTGCACAGAAGAGCAAGTGGTGGGAGACCGGGGAAACAAATGCGAAGGAAAGGGAAAAAGAGAGAGAAGAAAAAGCTAATGGGGGAGGGGTGCAGAAAGTAGGCTAGAAACTGCCCTAGACCCACTCTGCAAACTCTGGGCTTCCTGAGTGTGAGCCTCCTGTCGCCCAGAAAAAGCTGGCCTTGAGTGCTGGCCTGCCGAACCCCCTCCCCCGCCCCCCGACTCGCATCTAAACTGCCAGCGCCCGCGGGGTGGGTTGTTGGGCGCCTGCCAGTTGATTTCCTCTCCACAGGCAGCTCGGACCTGCCGGATGCCCCGCAGCCCCGCACCAAGACACACATTCCCCTACCGACTTCCTTGAACCCCAGATACCTTCCCCAAATAGCTCACAGACTTGGGAGCCCCTTACACCACTCAAGTCAATGCCTTAAACTGGAACCAGTGCCAGCGTCTGCGCCACCGCCTCCGGGTGGCACCGGGATTACTCTGCTTGCGGGGATTACTCTCAACCCTTCCTCAAAACACCCCTGACCTGCAGCTGAGGCCGGAGCGCCCCAGGCCCTCAACTCCACCCACCCGTGCTGTCAGAAGTGTTTTTCCTACCACCTCCCCAAGGGCTCCTGCTCCAGACCCCCCAGGGGCCAATTCTGAGTTTGCTCAATTAGAAACGAGCCCACCTGGGCTCTTGGAGCCACTGCTCCCTCCTCCCCAGCCCCCTCTTCACTCATAGTGCCAACCCCGCCAACCCCACCTCCCCCTCCTTCCAACCTCGCGGAAACCTCCGGTGTTTCAGCAGGGGTTCGCCTGGTTTTACTAACGTACTTTTGTTGTCTGTCTGAGGCGGGGAAAGCAGGAAGGAGACACAGGACTTTACTTTTTTTGCCAGAAAGAAATGATAATGGGTGACCTGGAGGGGGCGTAACAGGCCCTGGTTCTATTAGGTAAACTGAGTCACCCCCCACTTAACCGCACTTCAAGGAGGCAATCGCTAGGTACTTTCGTGGTTTGGTACTTTAATTTTGTCTCAAGTCCTACTTTCAATTTTCTCGAGGATAATTTTTTTGTTAAGTAGCTGCGCAGCTGGATGATTCTATTATTTCTTTGTTCTCCTAAAGAGAGATCATTGAAGCTGCATTCAGTCTTATTTTCACTGTACTTTCCAACTTAATACACCCCTCCTTTGTTTCTTTGTCTGTGTCACTATACAGATTTTTTTTTATTTCATCAATGTTCATATAAAGAAAGGGAGTTACATACGATGAGATGGCTCTTTTATTTCGTTGTCTTCTGCCGCTGTCGGGGTTTGCACATATTGGGGTACTTGTTCGCATCGGGTCATATAAGTGATAAGGAAAATAAAGTGGGGGGAGTTCTGTGCACTTGAAGGGCCTCCTGGCTCCTGTAGGGGACCCCAAGTGTGTCCCTCACACTGCCAGGCTCTGTGGCACGCAGAAGGACTTTTGCAACACTGTAAAGGTCCCACTGGCTCTGTAGCCTATTCCTGTTCACTCAGACCGCCCATGGCGAAGGGTTACCTTCAAAGCATACTTTTGTACAGCTTCCACGAACACTTGTCACTGTTGTCACTGTCAATTGCCTTCCCCTTTCCTACTTACGTCTAACTCATTCTCTTCAAGACCTACTTTTCTTTTTAAAGTCAAAATTAGAGACTTGTTTGATTAAAGTCGTTGAGGTTGAGCCAAATTAAAAGGGGAAAAAAAAAGATGTGTACAGTTCCCTCCTGCCTCCTCTCTGACCTCAGCATCTGCTTGTGTAGGAAACAGATAGATGGACTGACAGACGGACTGACAGAGCCTCATAAGGCCGCAGTTACCTGCCAAACGCTGGGCTGATGAAGGCCGGATGCCGGAACACCGCTGCTCCTAGGAAAGTGCTCAGGCCCAGCGGCGCCCCGCTGGGCGGCAGGCTAGCCGAGCCTGGAGGCGGTGGTAGGCTCGGGAAGGCGGCTGCTGCAGCGGCAGCGGCGGCGGTCCAGGCCGAGTCAAGCGCTGGGTGGTGTGGAGGAAAAGGGCTGGCATCCAGGTAGGGGCTGAGGGGATGGGTGGCCGAGAGAGGCCCTGGAAAGGGCAGCCCCGGGGGATGGGTCTGCGCGCCAGCCTTCTCTCGCTTGCGCCACTTGGCCCGACGGTTCTGGAACCACACCTGCAAAATAGAGAGAGGCCTGGTTGGCTTAGCTCTGGCTCACTCCTTCCTTGGACACCCTGGGCCTTCTCTCCCTCCTTTCATTGTCTCTGCACCCACCTTGGCCTTCTGTAACCTCTGGGTGAAAAGGGGCCCAGACTTTAATCCAGCAGAAACCACTGGGGCAAGCGAGCCCTTAAGAGTGGTGTCTATTTAATCCAGGCTTCCAAGATTCAGGAAAGTTAAAAAATAGGAACACCTAGGTTGCCCGGTCTGGGCTGACCCTTCTTTGCTGTAAGACTTTATTTAGGTCACTGAAACCTCTCTGGACCTCAGTTTTCTAATCTGTAAAATGGGGTCAGTAACATTTTTCTCATAAGACTCTAATGAAAAAATGCATATAAGGCAACAAATGAAACCACAGAGTGGTGACTGTTGGGTATGGACAGGCATCAAGCCATGAGCTACACATCTGTTCTGCATATTCGAGGTTTCCACATATTTCAGGTTTACCCAAGAGCACAGGCAATGTCTTCTCTCTATTGAAAAGCTTGTTTATTCATTCTTTGCACTTCCTGACCAATAAGTGTACTGTCTCAAGGTCTGGGATTTGGGTAGGGTTTGCAGAGAGGAGAGAACTACTTCCAGTAAGTGGGAAACAGGTGCCCATTTCAGAGGCCCAGCTGTTCATGAATGAAAGGGAGGTCCAAAACAGGCTGTCTTCAGGGGCTCTCTAGAAGGCCTCACTGACTACTGGGAGACAGTGCAGAGGGCACACAGGGCCTTCTTTTTTTCTGGGGGAATGTGCTTTCACTCGGTGCTTTAAATAAGATAGTTCCAGGTTTGGAGTAGGTTTCCAGCCCGAGGTATTTTCCTAATTTTTAATAAGAAGCACTTTGAACAGAGACCTTTACCTAAAACGTGGCAGCCACCATCATCTAAAAATATGCCCCAAAGCATGAAATCATTTTTATGTGACCTGCTCATCACTCCCACAGCTCAGAAGCTATGTTCCTTCTCCTCAGAAGGCATTAGTATTTTTAGAGCTGAGTTTGTGACTGCACATGAGTCTAAAAATTAAGAATGAACTCCAGGGCTATACAGGATTATATGAAAATATAATGTGAATTGCCACAGAGGAACATCTTTTTTTAAAAAATGTTAAAGACATTCGGATCTTTCCAATTTCCAGTCTGGCTGAGGATGAGTTACACTAGCAGCTAAGCTTGGTTGGACTTCTAGAAAGTCATCCAGGACAAGAATAAAATCAAAAATCCAAACTGACTGATTACTTAAACTCCTGGGGGAAGGGGGCCATGGCATTCGGCAGCCTTCAAATAATCGATGTGGGCATTATAGAAACGCTCTAGCTTGGAGACCCACAGGCTTGACAAAGTTAGACTGCAGTTAAATTAGGCTGGGCTGGCGGGCCGCTTTCTCACATCCAACCCGTCTAGACAAGAATCTAGACAAGACTCTCCACCATTCCTTGATTGTAGGGAAAGGAATAAAGGGAAGTGGGGGTAGTGGAGGCAGAGGTGCCTTAAATAACATGGAACCTTTTCTAAAGAGAGATCGGCTGTCTCTCGGGCTCTCTGGCTCAACTGCAATTATCAAGATGTCCCCTGCAATTCCTCATTATTGAATTAATACCTCTGAGGCCCCCAAAGGTAAACGAAAGGACTCTGATAATTCATATTCACTTAATTACATCTTCTCCAGTGAATAGTGGGGAAAGGAGAAGGGGAGGGGCACTCTCTTTCTTTTAAAAAGTTATTTAACTTTCCCACGACTTGTTCCCCTGAGCTGAAAGTGTGGAGTTGCTGTCACATCTCTGTTTGACAATGGAGAAATGTGTCAACAGAAAGGAGGGGACAAGCCTCATCATTAGCCCTCTAATGCAAGAAGCTGTTGTGTATTAAATGAGCCATATGGAATTTATTGTGCTTTATCAGCGCTTGATTTTGACTGTAAAGTGATTCGCTCAGCTCCTAACCCGGGGACATCTGTTTTCTGTTGGCCATCGGGGCTGCCCAGTGTTGATCGTCTCTTTGGTTATGAGGCCTGGGTTGGGAAATGCACTCTGGTATGGGGCTGCAAACACCTTTAATAGCATTGCACTCACTCCCTATTAGATCAATGTGGGCTCATTGCTATAAAAAATGGGAAATCAAATAGCATTAGCCAGCTCCTTGTGCAGGGCGGAGGGGAAATCAAACAGCATTTTGCCTTCAAATGGCCCTGTTTGTTCTAGCACTAAGTGGGCTTTTATGAAGCCCGATTGGAGACTTAATCGCAGCCAAATACCTGCTTGGAGCTGAGCGGATTTGTCTAACAACCAAATCCATGCTCCATCCCATTATTTCAATCAGGAGAAGTCGGCTGGTGGATTGTTTTCTATAGGGACCTTGGGTACCAGGTTTGGGTGGGGGGCTGCTGAATGTGGTCTCAGGGACTAGAAACCCCCTGTTTTGATCCTGGACTACTTTAAGCTCCCAAATCCAGAAATGCTCTCCTCCTCCTTCCCAGTTTGCTTTTGAAATGTCTTTTTGTGTATGAGTGCTTGAATCTACTTTTCAGTTTAGGATCCTGTTGTTATTATTGGAAGGGCAACCCCCAACCCCCAGCCCAACCTAGCCCTCTTTCTTCCCTTCTTGGAGCTCACCTGGACTCGGGCCTCAGTTAGGTCCAGCCTCATGGCCAGCTCCTCCCTATAAGAAAGCACCATTCAGACAGGTCACAGTAGGCCCCTGCAGTCCCCTCTCAGCCACTTTCCCCTGCATGACAGCCTCTCCCAGTCCATACCCCAAGTAGATGGGTCTGACAGATCTTCACCTCTAGGGTGCCTACTATTTGGTTGAAAACAGAAAAAAAAAACAGCATAGTGACAGATACAAAATATTATTCTTTATATTGTATCGTATAGTGTGACAGGCATGGATTCTTCAGTCTATAAGTCTTCAAACTTAGACAAATGAGTTTTCTCTCCATCTCCCTTAGGCTAGAGTAGAATGGGAAACACACACACACACACACACACACACACACACACACACACACACGGTGCTCATATCCTGTTTAATCCAAATTCTAAATGGGAGAAGAGCTCAGCAATCAGTCACAATTTTTGTTTTCTGCCCTCTTGGCTTTGTTTTGCCTTCCTTAAAAAAAATCCCTCTTCCTTCCTAGCCCCTCTTTCCAGCTCTCAGTCTCTCCTCCATCCCCTCCCCCTTCTACCCTCCCTTACCCTCTTAGGTCACACTCCCCATTACCCTCTGGAGATATGTTAAGCTTGTTAAGAGTTCAGTGGGGTAATTTTTCGATTAAACAAAATTCTGCGCACCTCCTGACTCCAGTGCCCACTACAAACCCTGCCCATCTCAGGGGAAGTCAATTTAGCTGAAACCCTACCCCGTTATTGCAGTTATTACTGCGACAATTAAGGCAAATAGGAAACCATTAAGATGCTGTAAAACGGCTTACGACCTGTTTACCGAAAATATGAGCGCGCCGAGAATAATTGGCTCTCTGCTCCCCAATATGAAAGAGCGAAGCTGCCTAAGCCCGGGCCTGGGTCTGCGCTGCCCGCAGGACCAGGTCGGGCCCCTGAAACTTCCTCAGCACCAGAAAAAGAAATCTCTCCTCTGAACACCTTTCCTGGAACACTCGTCCCACCCACCCCCTCCGCTTCTCAGAGAGCACCAGCAAATCTACAACTCCACTCTAGCCAGACTGGGCTGTAGCCCAGAAGCTAGGCCCGCTGAGCTGGAAGGAGATGGGGGTGGGGCAATGAAGAGGAATTGCCCAGGTCCTGTACTTTAGTCTCCCTGACAAGCTAAAGGGGGTGGACTTGGATGCTAAGCGACACTGTCTCTCTTTTTCCTTTTTAAGCAAAAAGAAAATCAAATAAAAGCCGGTGGTCCAGTTAGCTATTTGATAGTACGCGATGGCTGACTGTGAGTTGTACTTCAGTCGTCAAAAACAAGAGAAATACTGAGTGACACTGAGGAGGACCAAGTTTCAGTGCCCTTGCCTGTATTATATTTACTTTTGGGTTGTTTCTGGCCACAAGAGTTTGGCAACTGCCAGACCAACTATGTTTTGGAGTTGGCTCAGGCCTTGATTGTGAGCAGAGATTTCTCTGGTTCAAAGGGCCAGGCAGCTTTCCCCGTCGAAAATGCGCATTGAAAAGCTGCACACGTCTCCTGCGAAGGAGCTGCCCGGTTAGGGAGCGCGAGCCAGGCACTCACAGGTCTCATTCTCTGTTCTCACGGGGGGGACTGGTCTCTTTCTTTCTTCTCACATTTGCCCCCAATCCTGGCTCCTAGTCCCCTAGTCCGAGCCAAAATCTTGGACTTGGGGGTGGGAAAGGCTCCAAACCTGCCGGTACCCCTAAATCGGCTGAAGAAGCAAGAGCTCCAAAGTTCAGCAAGCCCACTGGCCCAAGTTTCTCAGATTGGGAAGTGTAGTGGACACTGGTCCATGAGACACAGTCTTCTTCCCACCCCCACCTCAACTGCTTGGTTTACTGGCTTCCCCGTTTCCAGAAACCATGGTCTACCCCATCAACCCGTTTACAGTAAAGTCATGCTAGGTGTAGTGGAAACGGGAAGAGTCTGGCTGGTGCCCTTCTGGTGTAAAGACGCCAAACACTGCTTAGTTCGACTTCTCTGGTTGTTTCAGGAGTCCCCAAGTGACAAAAACTCTGGATCTTTTTAAAGGTCTTGTCTGAAGGCAAGGGCTCCAGTTTTCCTGCGAACAATGTAACTGATACACACGACTCCTGGGCCACCGGGAGAGGGTGGACAGCGCATAGTACACGGGTCAAAAATAGCGCCTGCTCGCCTATCAAAAGTGCTTCTTGTGCCCAGCCAGGACCTGGCCCCAGCCTCAGCACTGGGAGCCGTCATGTGCCTACCCAACGTGGCTGCTTTGGGTGCTCTTTGGAGAGGCTGTTTGACTCTAAAACTTGTCATTTGGAAAACAAAGTCAAAGGGCTTTGGGACCGAAAGAAACCACACCAACTTAAAGCGTGTGTGTGTGTGTGTGTGTGTGTGTGTGTGTGTGTGTGTGTGTGTGTGTGTGTGTGTGTGTGTTGGGGCAGTATTGGGGAGCCAAAGGATCACATTTGGCCAAGCATCCCCTGGGTAGTGCCCAGACGCAGAGAATTTCCCTACTCTGGATATTCTGCTCTTGGGCCCTTCAGCCGGCGCTGTGCGCATCGACCACCCGGGCAACGTACCTGGTGAAGACGTCCGGGTAGTGCGTCTTCTGGAAGGCCCTCTCCAGTTCCTCCAGCTGGTAGCTGGTGAACGTGGTGCGGTAGCGCCTCTGTTTGCGCTTCAGTAGCCCCTCCTCTGAGTCGCTGCCCGCGGACAGACACACGCTGTCCTCGCCATCCTTGCCCTCGGCGTCCTCTGGGTGCAGCAACAGCTCTTCCTTGGGCGACAGCTCTCCACCCTCGGTGGCCACAGCGGCGGCGGCGGCGGCGGCGGCCACCGTGCCGGTGGCGGCCACAGAGCAGCGCCTGGGCTCCTTGAGCAGTGCACGGGCATCGTCCTCCAGCAACTCCTCTTCGTCATCTTCCAGCAGCTCCTCTTCCTCATCTTCATCGTCTTCATCCTCTAACAGCTCCTCCTCGTCATCCTCGGTGCCCGTGCCACCACTCGCCGCCGGGGCACTGCTGGGTCCGCTGGCGGCGCCCAGGCGCTCCTCGGGGTGCGCGACGCCCCCCGGGCCACCCAGCTCGTCCAGCGCGGGCGGCGGTGGCACGAAGGGCGCCCCATTCTCGCGGTACGACTTGCTGCGGCTGATGCTCACCTGCGGTGCCTGGCTGATCTTGAGGGTGTCCCAGGCGGCTGCGGCGGCGGCCACGGCCCCCGCGCTGTCCGGACGCTCTCCTGGCCGCGCGGCTGGCGGTGGCGGTGGAGGTACCTCTCCGCGAGGACCTGCGGTGCCAGTGGCCGTGGCTGCAGCTGCCGCCGCCGCTGCCGCCGCCGCCGCCGCTGCCGCGGCGCCCTGGAGGAGGCGGCCCCCACCCGGGCCGTACAGGCGCCGCAGCTTGGGTGGCAGGTGCAGCTCAGCCTCGAACTGGGCGCTGCTGCCTTTGGGAGAGCCTGCGGGCAAGGAAGAGTGGTCAGCGCGCTAGCCCGACCGTCTTTTCCCCCTGCCTGCCTTGCAGCTGCTGGAGGCAGGCCTGTTCTGCCGCCCCTGTGCCCCTACCTTCGGACTCATCTCCCGTTCCTTGCACACTTGCCAGGATTCCGTCTTTCTTTTTCTACTCTCATGAGTCCCAGTCCCCCTAAACTTCCTTTCTTCTTTCCTTTCTCATCCAGACCTTTACTTCCGTTTTTTCTTTCTCATGCCTACTCCTTTCGTGCCCCCTTTCCCTTTCTTTCCCTCTCTTTCTACTCTCTCCCCACTCCTTTCCCTTTGTCATCTCTTCTCTGTCCTCCGCTTCCTGTTTCCTTTCCTCCCACTCCTGTCTTATTTCATTCCTTTCTCTCTTTTTTCTTCTCCCCCTTTTGGAGTGGGGCGAATTTCAAAAACATGAAATAAAATAAAATCGAACAACTTAAATCATCACTACTCTGAAAACTTCGCGCTCGACCTCAGCCAGCTGTTCTGTCACAGGGGCCCCAGGCTAGCAAGAGGGGCTCTGCCCCGCGGGCGACCCCTGCGGGGCGAAGCCGCCTGAGCCCTTCAGCTCTGAACACCCGCCATGCTCCAACAGCCCACAGCGGCAGGAGGCAGGGATTTCTTGCTCAGAAGGGCAAAGGAAAAAAAAGCATCCTCGAGAAAATGTGTAAGAAATGCCTGACATGGGGACTTGGGTGGGGTGCAACAGGCACAGGCCCGCTCCTTCCCTTGGAGGAAGCGCCTGGCACAGGTGCCCTTGCAGGCTAAAACAAGAAATGGAAAAAGTCAGTTTTATTTTAGAGGGCTCATTTTCAGCTTTTCGCTCCAGTCTTCCAAATGCTGTTGCTGCTGGATCACTGGTTTTGGATTTAAAAGACACCAACACTTCTTTGCCTGCAACACTTCCGCATCCAGCTCTAGGCGAAACTCGGGTATAAGAGGTTCGGAGGACCAAATGACACTTGTTCTGGATTTGTTAATTTCAGAAAATAAAACACTTTAAACATCTCGATTCTTTAAAAAAAACACAGCACAGAAAAGTAGCACCTAGAAGCCACACATTTCATGCATTTCAGATACAGTAAGTTGCATTTGGGGGAACCTGAGGAAATACTTTCTGCAACACTTACATTTGAAAGGTCACCAATAATGTACAATTAAAAACTAAAAAGAGACGCAGACCACTGCATATAAAGAAATCTTCCGAAGGGGAAAGGCTAGAAAGTTCATCTTTCCTGAAGGAACCACCACGGCCACCACCACAGCCATCTCTTAGCTTTTGGGTTTCTTGTTTTCATCAAGTTGCTGCTAAAGGCTGTAAGAGCATCTGCTGTTTGGGACCTGTCAGCGTTATTCAGAGTACACCCAAGGCCAACCAAAAGAGACTTTTAAACGACTAACACGGAGCATCTTAGAGTTCCACCTTCCAAGTGAAGCTGGGCCTCTGCCTTTTCCCAAAGGGGAAGTAAAGACAGTCCCTTTCTCTAAGGCCCCAGAAGCCAGAGTTGTTCCCTCTCTTTCCTAAGTCTCTAACTTGACAACCCCAAGGCTCCAGGTCCCCAAATAGCAAACATTCAAATCAATGCCCAATGTCCTTTCATAGGTGCCTGACTGGCACAACCTTACCTTGCATGGCTTTTTCCTGGTCAGCGCGGCTGGCCAGCGGGGCAGGCAAGCTCTGCGCGGCTCCCAGAAGCCTCATTTTGCACGGGCTTCTCCGACCCAGGATGCTGTCGATGCAGTAGGACGAGAGCAAAGTTGGAGATTTACTCTTGCACTCGGGCCTCTCGGAGCAGCCCTCTTCCTGGTACTGATTGCTCATGGCTGGAGCTTTTCCCTTGGGCTCAGACTGCGGACCTCTGGCTGCCTCTCCTGGTGGGTGGGATGAATGAGTGTGTGCTGGGGGTGGTTAGGGTGGCTGATTATAACAAGTATTACTGAGATCTTTGTTCCTCTCTGTCCTTCGGTTGCGGGCTGCGGACTTTCACCCTGGCCTCAGCCGGAGCTCGTCCTCTCCGCGCTCAGGACAAGCGGTTACAAGTGTAGTGAGCCGCGGGCGCCGAGCTCTGGAGTCTCTCTGCTCCACGTGCTGAGAGGAGCTGTCTGATTGGCTCTCGACAGAGGCCGGGCTGCGTCGGCCTGCCGGCACAGCGCAAAGAGCGAACTGGATTCTGGAGGGGCCAGAGAGGGTGGGGGCAGGGGAATAGCAGCTGGCACGCACCAGAGCCAAATCTCCTCTCTCTCTCTCTCTCTCTCTCTCTCTCTCTCTCTCTCTCTCTCTCTCTCTCTCTCTCTCTCTCTCTCTCTCTCTCTCTCTCTCTCTCTCTCTCTCTCTCTCTCTCTCTCTCTCTCTCTCTCTCTCTCTCTCTCTCTCTCTCTCTCTCTCTCTCTCTCTCTCTCTCTCTCTCTCTCTCTCTCTCTCTCTCTCTCTCTCAAGTTTTCCATCATTTTCTTGTAGTTCCTCCTTTAAGTCTTAAGGTTTGCTCCCAGCTCTAGCTCATTTGGGTGCTTGCTAGGCTTGTGGGCGCCATTTGGGCTTTGGACTCCCCTTCCACCACCCAGAGGACCTAGCTCCCTGGAGGTGAAGCTGAAAGGCTTAAGTTGAAATCGACCTGGCACTTTTCAAAACTGACTTTGTCCTCCTAGGATAGCGTCTTGACCTCAGTGCTGTTCACTCACCGTCCTCTCTAGGACAAATGGGCCTCCGACGTGCCAGGCGGAAACATCTGCTGTCTGAGCGTTTGGTTTTCTCTTGTGGCTCAGAGCCTAGAGCTATTTGTCTTCATCCAGAGTCTATCTGTTGCTCTCTTGTTTAATATCGGTTCCCAACATTCTCTGTCTCCGTTTTTAACTCTGGAATGAGAAAAAGGCCTTTAAACACAGAGGGCTCTGCCAAAGGCGCACAACCTTCCCTGGAGTATCTACAGAGGCCAAAAGAACTGGCGAGTGCGAGTCCGAGCCTCCCAGAAGGGTGCCTGGGGAAGAGACTGAGAAAGTCCCTTTTCTCTCCTGAGTTTTTTCTGTCTTCCCTGCTTCCCTAAATTCATCTCTGTTAGGCTGTCACCATCTGGCTTTTCATCCTTGAGCAGCACCTGGTGTGGTTGTCAGTTCCCTAGGACAGAAAGGACCCATATTCACCTTGAACAAAGTCGAATTGCCTAGAATTTTGAATTTTGTGACTGCCTCCCATTATCAAAAGTGAGGGAGGCAAGCCTTAGGGGGAGACCGTTTCTTCTCAAACAGCTCCCAGCATTGGGTGCAGGAAATCTACACCCAACCCTCATTGAAGTTGGGTCGATCCCGGAGAGGAGCCAGCACGGACATCTTCACTGCCTAGGTGCAGGTTCCAAGGGACAGTCAGGGCCTTGACATTGGCGGGGCTGGGGTGAGCTAGGTGGGTGAGAGGTCGGCGAAGGGGAATCCATGCCAGGTTTTCCTCTCTCAGCCCCTTCAATGTGTCAAAGAGAAAACGTTTTACAAAGGATTATACTTGAATCACTTACAGTCAGTATTTAAAAATACAAGAATACCTAACTGGTTTTTTTTCCTAGCCATAAACATCTGCATAACTCTTGGATGCTAGTGGGTGGGTGACAGATAGATGGGGCTGGCTAGGCAGGAGTCCTCAACACAACTTGAGGAGGTAAAGTGTTGGGAACAGACACATTAATACTACTAATACTAAAGCCACACTACTAGTAGTAGTAGTAAAACGGAGCGAAAGGATTTGTCTCTGTCCCTCCATGTGTCGATCTCTCTGGTATTTTCGTTGGCTTCTCAGCATGATTTTCCTACAGTCTAATGGGGGGATGAGATCAGAGAAGAGACTGCAAGTTACCTTAACATTCGATTTTCTTTTATGCCCTCTCTGAGATCCCGAGGTATCTGGAATAGGCTTCTGCCTTTTGGGGGTTCTGTTTGCATCTTCACCTTTTGGTGTTTTGTTTGTTTTAAAAAATATGGTCTCATCTAGCTTTAAGCTAATGTTATGCTTGTTAACTGCTCCTGTCCCCCTTCCTGGCTCTTCTTAGTTAGTCCTTGGAGTCTCAGGGCAGCACAGAGATATAAGGGCGCCTAGGTTTTCCCCGAGGTTCCAGCCAAAGACCCTCGCCTGCGTCCCTGCAGCTGATGGCTGGGGGGTGGGGGAATGGATACAGAGTCACTTTTCCCTCCCTGCGAGGCGAGTCCCGCTTCGGAAATCCGTAAGACCCGGCTGCCGGTAGCTTTGTGGCTTCAGAGTGGGCTCCGCACACGTAGGGAGTGGGAAGAAAATGAATCCAATAAAGATCGTGTTAAATAAAACGGGTCACAAATGTACAAATCATTTCTGAACGCCCTAAGGGGTTTCAGACTCTCGGTGGAAGACTTCTTTGCCTCCATCCCCCTCCCCCCCTCTGCAGCTGTTCTTCTTTTAAAAGAAGTCGGACTTTCTGATGGGGGTGTATTCTAATTTTAATCACCGACTGTAAAGAGGGAGGTTAACATAGAATTTCTGATTCTGATTTAATGATCCTTGGAATTAAATCTAATTCTATTAATGGAATATAAAGAAGGTTTTTTAAGACCTGTGTGAAAACTCTAGTCTTCTTTGTTCTGTTTTTTTTAATTTTTAATATTTTCTAATCAGTCTTCCCAAGCGAAGGAGGCACATGTCTTCAACTTTGGGAGGAGGGGCTGAACTACTTTTCTCTACACTTAGCAACCCTGAGATTTGTCACAATTGAATACCTAACTTCAGAATCTACAACTGATTCCATTTCCCACACATTAATTAGAAAAAAAATGACAGGAAACTTTCCTAAGGCTCTGGATAGAGTGGCAAAGTCTAATAGTGCCTGGTAAGAGTCTAGTTCGAATGTGGGCTTAAAATGTGCTATCCTGTATGTCAGTTTTAGAAAATGAAATGATGCTTCTTATATCTAGGAAGAATTTAATCAATGTGCTGAGCACACAGCCTTTTAGAAATTTGAGTATGGACTATGTATAAAGGGGCACATAGTTTAGCTCGATTTAATATTCACTCTGCCAGCAAAAACGATACTTCTTTCTTTTCACCTCACTTTTACCTTTACCCACTAGCAAAAAGTAATTTCATTTTAGTGGTAACTTATAAAAAACATGTTTGTATGTTTCTAGTAACCACTCCTGGCTTTTAATCTCCGGGGTCTGGTCTGCTGCTTTGGTTTTCTTGAGCTACTTGAAAAACAATATTTTCTAGTTCATCTGTTTTTAAACTCCACCACTAAAATAAAAATGACAATAATGGCTGGAATCTAGAGTCAGATGTGTTCAAATCTGCTGTTTATGGTGAAAAATGGGGCTTGCCCCCCAAACTGGAGGAGGTGAATGGAAGAGACCCCTTTCTTTCTGTGGCAAGAGAGCTAATTCTACACTGTAGCTTCAAAATTATATTTTCAAGAAATACATGATAAGGGGTGGCAGTTAGATGCCTTTATCGGGGGAGGGGGATGTTTGTAGGAGAGTTAACCTCAGACACTTTACATTTGAGATGTTTTAATTTATTGTGCAATATACACATAGATAAATAAAGCTGTAATGGGCTTCCAGTAGCACTGGATGGCTCAGGTCCCCTTAAATTATGCTCAACCTCTTCAAAACATATATTTAAACAATAGAAATAAACTTCATTGGAGTCTGTCGACCAATTTGGGAGCCATTGGAAGGGAAGACAATGAGTCCTGATTACACGCAAGGATTCTCTGTGATGTGTTATCCCCTTTGCCAAGTCATTTTGCTGCTTTATTTATTTAATTTCTTCTTCCTTTTTTTTTTTTAACAAACTTTCATTCATTTATGGTCTTCCGCAACCTGCTAATTTAACACTGGAGCGCGTTATTGCAGTGTTAGGAGGAGAGAAAGAGGGAGAGAAAACAACAATACTGCAATGATCCAAATGATACAGTAGAATTATAGCAATTATAGTTCTACTTGTGGAAGAAAACCTTGCTGAGATCAAGCAAACAAACTGAAGCCTTGTGAGGATAACAAGCCTCGCGATTGACAGCCGGTGCTGGGAAGAGCCGGAGGGCACAAACAGAAATATTTGCCTCCCCAACCCCCCTTAACTCCAACCAGTAAAGGTTAACCTTCTCAAAAGCTGCTTTCACAGTCTTATCCACTTCAGGCTATGCATTTTATGCACATATCGAGGTTTTTCCTCCTGGAAGTCTGGTAATAGGAGGAACTGTGGCATAATCTGCTTGCCTAGAACTTGCCCTCACCTTCTCTGCCCCCCCCCCACCACTCCGGTTTACTCTCCACTTCCCCAGGCTTCTGAGATCCCTCTGTGGATCAGGTTTGCTGATGTGTTTTCAGAGGAGCAGCCCCAGAGAAATCCAAAGGTACTAGCAACTTGAATTCCCTGGGAAGACACCCTCGCGTTTGCCTCCCCTTCCTGTGTCCTCCGCCTGAGCTGTGGTTTTCCCCCATTAGGGTTCATCCCGGAGAGCTTTTTTTCCTCACCCCTGTTTTGGAAGCGGCTCATGGATCTCGGCCGAGCCCTCAAGGTATGGAAATGTGGGTGTGATTACTGTTAGGGTAACCCCTATTTGTAAACTTCGACACTCTGTTACCCCAGCAGCAGCAGGAGAGGGTGTGAAGGAGTGAGAACTAGAGAGAAAACCGACAACCCTCCCCCCTCACACGACCCCCTCCATCCAGGCAGGCGGCCACCGAGTCTTTTTCCTCCAGGTTTGTTCCCAGGACAAAGCTGGACAAGGAGGTCGCTGCTTCAAGTCTGTGCTCAGAGTGCAGGGCGTGCTTCTCTTCTACCAGTGAGAAGCAAATGACTAGATTGTGGGCTCCTCACCCCGAGTCCCTTGGCAGGAGGATCCCATCTGCTGTTCCTCTTCCCCCACCCAGGTTTCCAAATCCCAGAGGGAAACTTCTCAGCCCCCTAATCGCCGCCATCTGCTTTCTTCTTTCCATCGCCAACCGGACCTCAGGACCCCGGGTGTGCGTTCAGGGTAGAGGGGTCCCCAAGCAGCTTTTCCTCTGGACGGAGGCAGGAGGGCATGGGTTGGAGCGACAGAGGAGGAATCAACTCAAGCGTCTGTCCTG